TTAGCTCATGTATATTTAATAATAATTTATATACATTTTTCATTACAACAAACTTTCAGTTTAACAAGTATTTTCGAGGGTCACCTGAAGTTTCTTATAGCGAGATTCCATGTATTTATTTCATTATATTCATTCGTATTTTCTCTCTCAATTTATATAAATAATTTTTTTTTTGTCAAGAAGTCTTTTTCTTTCTCTCCTTTAACTATATAAATCTTTTAATTTTATTAATACTTTTTCTCTTTTAATTATGTTTCATATGTCATTAGTGATATGTGTATAGGCTAATATTATAGGAAACAATCGTTATTTGTTAGAATATTTACCAAAAATAATATATTGCACGTAAGTAAATTATAATACATAATTTATGCAGGGAAACATAATATGTTAATAATATATTCATATATTAACTACTGTATTTGTATGCAAACATAATATTAATAATAAATATAATTTACAATTATGTAAATTACATATATTGTAATTTTTAAACTTTTCTATAAATGACTAAAAAATTGAATTTTAGAAGGAAACAGGAAACTCCTAAACCAGAGGTAAGAGAATCTTTCTTAATCGGAAGGCCACATCCTGTTTTAAAAGGAACTCATAAGGCCACATGATATATAAGGTTGCATAAGTGTACACATTAAATATACATGGGACAATTATATTAATAAATTGAAATTACACAGATGTTTTTATTTAATTCAATTGTAATCAAATTTGATATGAAATACATATTGAGTTCTCAACATTATGTTGAAAAATTCAAGACTATTTAAAAACATTTTTTTGCATGTATAATCGAAAATCTGTAGAAAAACGAATGGGCAAAACGTAAGATATTAACGTAGTAAATTAATTTTTATCGATAAAAACAAATAAAATTTTCTTCAATTTATATGTATGAAAAATTTTTAATAATTAGAAGTTATTTTTATAGATAATAGTATAATTAAAGAGCCCACTTCCAAAACGACTTATCTTCATAAATGACACAATGTAAACTAATAAACCAACGGCGCTTCGATTTTCTGTTTTAATAGGAGTAAATAATATTGTGTTATTTCGTTTACTAAAAGACTTATTCGCTAACAATAGCAAACCTCCGTGTTATTTCCAAAGCGGCTTACTTCCACACGTGTGTTCATTCCAAATCGTATCTCTTACACACCAATCAAGCAACATTTTTGAAGTCATGTGACAAGATTCCTAATGTTTCCACTAAAGAAAAATAAAGCAGCTACGTTTATATCAGCAATTTTTTCTAGTTAAAAAATTTTAACAGCAATTTTTTAACTAAAAATTATACATGTTAGTTTATAATGATCCAGTAGAGAAGAAAAAAAAATCACACACAAAAACGACGAATATGGAAGTATTCGAATCATAGCAACTTTAGTAAATTTCATAAATACCTACAGCTGGAACTGTCAGTAAAGCCACAGCTTACTGTAAAGAGGGGGGAAATGGGCAAAATTGCAACCGAAAAAACTAAAAATGGGCAATGAGGTAAACAAAAAAAGTTGATCACGTTATGGGTCTAATTACCAAAGTGAATTGGCTGAATATCACCCAGCATTTAAATTTAGTTGACACCGATGAGAGTTGTAATAGTGATGTCAAGCACAAAGTACAGTATATTAAATTTGATTTCAGTGTTAGTTATTTATTCTTAGTTACGATTTAAAAATCTTTATTTTTTCGTAACTATCAATAGTAGTAGATTTACCCAAATTAACTTTTAATGTTAAAAGATACCACTTTCTATTGTTACTCTTGCAAGCTTTAGGTCTTAACCCTACTTGTTTGTACCAAAAAGATTTACCTTCAATTAAACATTTTAAAAATAACAAATTCTATTACAGCTGGGTTGTTTAAAGTTCTAGTATAGATAACACACATAAATGCGGGTATAATAGCTAATCACAAAAGAAATGATAAATGACGTAAGAAATATTTTTTCTGTTTTCTCAAGAGGTTATTTCATGGAAATAAATCTTTTTGGGAATAGACTGTTTAATAATTGAATATAGTATTTAATATTATTAAAAACTAAAAAAAATATTATTTTATTATTAAATATATATCAAATAAACGTGAAAAACAGAAAGAATGTGTACATTTAACAGACAAATAATGGCATCATCAATTATTACTATTATTATTTTGGACAAAATTCACTCTAACTTATTTTAGAAAGTGTCTAATTACATTATTTGTATATGTACTGTAATTTATGATAAAAATTGAAATATTTAATATAACTGAAATTTAAATAAATTAAATTAACATATTTAAATTGAAATGACTAATATTAGCATTCGGAAAACTAATATTAAAATAAACATTCAATTGTTATAATTAATTTAATATTTAATATTGAATTAAAAATAAGAATTTATTAAATATTATTTAAATATATTGAATTCTGCAAATATCAGCAAGTTATACTTAATCATTTCCTAGAATTTGTCAATTAATATATATTTTCCTGTAGGCAATTTTGTGTTTAATCAGTTATTTTCCTATTAAAAAATATTTTAAATAATAATTCAAATATTTATTTAGACATTATTTATTTTAAAGATGGCGTCTATTACTTAATTACTATATCAAGAACAATGACAGTTTGTTTATTACTTATCAAATAATCTGTCATCTCTATTATCGAAATTATTCAACAGTGTTTTACAAGTGTTAAATTTACAAATTAAATATTTTATATAAAAATAATTTTTCCGTGTTTAAACTAATTTTAACTTGTCGGTAAGAATTATATTTTTAAAAATACATTACAATCGTAGATTAATTCATTTGATAAAATAATTACGTGCAATTTAAAATAAAAATAACAATTATTTTTCTTTCCTAAATGAGCGGTAATAATTGTTTTTTGAAAATTTTCTTTCCTTACTTTCTAGGTGTTTAAATATATTTTTTAAAAATTTCCAATAAAAGAATCTATAATTAATGTGTAGCAGAAATCATTCATTAAAAATCCTGCTACAGAGTCTTTTATCTGAGATTTTATGAATTAAACACGATTACATGAATAAAATAATTCATCAAAAATTTCTCAAATTTGTTATTTCTAAGAAATAATTGATGGTCTTTCAATTAACAACTCTTGCTCTTATAAAGATAGGCTTGTAATTTTTTTATTCGTTGGTTAATATACTTTTTTTTGCAATCGTATCACATCCATTTTGGGAAAATAGCGGAAAATACCGAAGTTGTTGAGTCAGAAGATATCTGCACGTAGTTTTGGCCACTTGACATTCCTAATACTGGCACCGTGAGACAAGCATCGAAAAGAGGGAAGCAATCTGCGTAGGAGACCAGGAATTTTGATAATTCATCTATACATAGTAATGTATCTATTAACGTCCATAAAAATCAACGAGTATCAATGAATAACTTTATAAATAACTTTAAGAAGGCAGGTATCCTTTCAATGCAGAATTCCTTTTTGATAAAGGCTTACCTGTTCTTTCAAGTATTTCAAATAATTACATTTTATAAATGATCTGATTTATTAATATAAATAATATATTTATAATAAATCATTACTTCTACTATATATTAATAATGTTAATATAGTTCTAAATTATAAAAACAAAAAGATACAGATAAAGATTGTTGCCTTTCAGCCTCTTATAAACTAGTATACAGGTTTAAATAATATTAAAAAAGAATATAATTAATTGCAATTTTAACCAGTCATTTGTTCTAATACTATAATTTAGAGAAATAATTAATCTGTCTTATTTTTTTTAATATTAAGTATGTAATAAAATAATATAATTCTATTTCATATTTTCCATATTTACAATCAATAGAAATATAGCGTAAATATCATAACTATTATTAAAAACATTTTAGATTACAAACTTTTTGATAGGGCTATAAATTGTTGTAGATATTCTATAGTTACTGTCAGCTACACATGTTGTTGTGATGGTAGCTTTGAACATTGTCAGGTGAGATAAAGTCACATCAGTTGTGAACAGTGTAAAGACCAAGAATAGCAGTAAAAGCATTCGCTGTACTTTCTGCTTTAAAATAATCATTTTTTTTTAAACAACAAATAATATAAATTAATTTATTCGTTAAAATATTACGTTTTAATTGCTTAATTTTATGTGTAAAAGAGCAATAGCCACGTTAAATAAGGTAGCCTGCGTCAGTGCCTTTTTTTTAATAATGCTTTATGATAAAAACAACGTATTTTGTCATTTCAGTAACCAAATATGATTTAGAAAACAGGACAGTCATTATTACATTACCATGACATGTTCGTAATCAACTACTCCCAGTTTCATTCCCTTTAGTATATCTTGAAAATTTTTCGAAGAAATGAGTTATATAAATAAACTGATAAAAATTACTTTTTTTTGTAATAATTATATAGCTATAACACATATGTCATAAATTTTATAGAATTTTAATTATAAATATTGCATGTTTGCCTTGATTTTTAATTTTAATTTTTGATATTATGAAATTAGAAAATATAAATGTTCGAAAATAATAAATAAATTAATGGAAAGGATATATTAATCTTCTTTTCTACTAATTTCTTTATCATTTTCGAACATTTATTCTATCTAATATTATAATATTAAAAATTAAAATTAAAAGTCAAGGCAAATTATACAATATTTTAATAATAAGATTTGTAATTTTTTATACATTAATTATGTTTTTTATTTCATAATTTATTTAATTGTTTTTCTTGCAATATACGTTCAGTTTCCTTCGGTAAGCTCGTCTCTTCCTTAAATTAAATATATAACTTAAATGAATATTTAGAAAATAAATCTGACGAACAATTTTAAAAAAGAAAGTATTACTAACTAATTTCTAGTTACTTAATTTTAAATAACGCATCTTAAACAAACGGGAACAACACGTGGCCAAAAAGAGGATGTGACGAATGACTGACGTCACACAGAACTGCCCCCGCAAGCTGCACGTGCGTCTATATAGGTTGTGGACGTTCTGTTTGGTGTACAAAATTGCCGTTACCAGCAATTCCGTAATATTGTGTACTGTACATCAGTTACAGATAATGTAAGTAAATTTATTCCAATCTTACGAAAATAATTCTTAATCTATTATATTGATATAATTACAAATATAACAAATTTTTCACGCTAAGTGCGAAATTTACTTTAAAGTATTTATTTATAATAAATATAATTTACAATTATGTAAATTACANAGTAGAATAGGATAGTAGATTTCTTTCATTCTATATTTACAGTGATAATTGAAACATACTTTTATCTACTATTTTTCTATAAATAGAAATAATCATTTATTAAAAAACATATATAAAATATAAAATGGATTAAATTGAAATGTAATATATCAATATTTTCTTCATTTTTGGATATTATTTGTAATCATTTTCTGTATAATATTTTAAATAAACCTTTGTTTTACTAACAAATTGATATCATTTCTGGTTTATTGTTGTAAATCTATACAAGTTAATTTGTTGTCTTTGTTGATTTTATTTATGAGCATTGCTAGATAATTTACTAAAGGCTGAGTATATGATGTTTATTGAATGTATGTAGGCTTATATTTAGTTTTTAAATAATTATAATTCTTTCACGGAATTCATCCAATGGAATCACGTTAAAAGGAACCTCGTAATAACGATTTTTAAAATTTTTCCGACTCAACGTTTATAGGAATCAACGACAAAATCTTTCAGTTGTACAAAATGTAACGCGTTATAGCTTCATGGGGCCCAGGCAAATTTGAACTAGAGACCCCATGCACAATATTGACTTCAGATATTTTTCTTCTGGGCAAGTTTTTGGGGGAAATATTTTCTTATAAATGATTAGTTTGGGTCTTCTTGTTTGTGGAAATCCCAGGCAATTGCCCCTTTTGTGCCACTGTGTACAAACGTATTGTATTTAGAACGAACTTCCAGTTTAACGTTTCTTTTCTGTCAGTCCGCAGAATTTCTATAATTTTCACTTTACTATAACAACTCTTCGCAATTTCTTTCACTCTTCTTCGCTATTGTTTTCCAACTGATAAAGAACTATCCAAGGAAAAGAAGATATCGTAAGCAACTAACGAGTTGCAGGTGTACTAACCTGAACTAGAGCTATAAGTTGTGGACACAGGTGTAAGGACAGTCATTTACGCCTCTTTTAATTTTGTTATTTACCTTATTCTTAAGGTACGAAGATGAACATCGAGGGACAGCTAGGAGAGGGAAACATTGCCGGGATATTTCTGATCATTTCTTTCTGAAATAGGAAACCAAAGCGTAGGAAGAATATGATTTGAAAGGATAAATTAAATTGTCGAATTCACAACTAAAATGCTTCATTTACATGAAATAACTCAAATTTTAAAGAGAAAATGATATAAGTAACATATATAACATCTTTGTCTCTTTTTTTGTAGACTTCACATTTAGCTCATGTATATTTAATAATAATTTATATACATTTTTCATTACAACAAACTTTCAGTTTAACAAGTATTTTCGAGGGTCACCTGAAGTTTCTTATAGCGAGATTCCATGTATTTATTTCATTATATTCATTCGTATTTTCTCTCTCAATTTATATAAATAATTTTTTTTTTGTCAAGAAGTCTTTTTCTTTCTCTCCTTTAACTATATAAATCTTTTAATTTTATTAATACTTTTTCTCTTTTAATTATGTTTCATATGTCATTAGTGATATGTGTATAGGCTAATATTATAGGAAACAATCGTTATTTGTTAGAATATTTACCAAAAATAATATATTGCACGTAAGTAAATTATAATACATAATTTATGCAGGGAAACATAATATGTTAATAATATATTCATATATTAACTACTGTATTTGTATGCAAACATAATATTAATAATAAATATAATTTACAATTATGTAAATTACATATATTGTAATTTTTAAACTTTTCTATAAATGACTAAAAAATTGAATTTTAGAAGGAAACAGGAAACTCCTAAACCAGAGGTAAGAGAATCTTTCTTAATCGGAAGGCCACATCCTGTTTTAAAAGGAACTCATAAGGCCACATGATATATAAGGTTGCATAAGTGTACACATTAAATATACATGGGACAATTATATTAATAAATTGAAATTACACAGATGTTTTTATTTAATTCAATTGTAATCAAATTTGATATGAAATACATATTGAGTTCTCAACATTATGTTGAAAAATTCAAGACTATTTAAAAACATTTTTTTGCATGTATAATCGAAAATCTGTAGAAAAACGAATGGGCAAAACGTAAGATATTAACGTAGTAAATTAATTTTTATCGATAAAAACAAATAAAATTTTCTTCAATTTATATGTATGAAAAATTTTTAATAATTAGAAGTTATTTTTATAGATAATAGTATAATTAAAGAGCCCACTTCCAAAACGACTTATCTTCATAAATGACACAATGTAAACTAATAAACCAACGGCGCTTCGATTTTCTGTTTTAATAGGAGTAAATAATATTGTGTTATTTCGTTTACTAAAAGACTTATTCGCTAACAATAGCAAACCTCCGTGTTATTTCCAAAGCGGCTTACTTCCACACGTGTGTTCATTCCAAATCGTATCTCTTACACACCAATCAAGCAACATTTTTGAAGTCATGTGACAAGATTCCTAATGTTTCCACTAAAGAAAAATAAAGCAGCTACGTTTATATCAGCAATTTTTTCTAGTTAAAAAATTTTAACAGCAATTTTTTAACTAAAAATTATACATGTTAGTTTATAATGATCCAGTAGAGAAGAAAAAAAAATCACACACAAAAACGACGAATATGGAAGTATTCGAATCATAGCAACTTTAGTAAATTTCATAAATACCTACAGCTGGAACTGTCAGTAAAGCCACAGCTTACTGTAAAGAGGGGGGAAATGGGCAAAATTGCAACCGAAAAAACTAAAAATGGGCAATGAGGTAAACAAAAAAAGTTGATCACGTTATGGGTCTAATTACCAAAGTGAATTGGCTGAATATCACCCAGCATTTAAATTTAGTTGACACCGATGAGAGTTGTAATAGTGATGTCAAGCACAAAGTACAGTATATTAAATTTGATTTCAGTGTTAGTTATTTATTCTTAGTTACGATTTAAAAATCTTTATTTTTTCGTAACTATCAATAGTAGTAGATTTACCCAAATTAACTTTTAATGTTAAAAGATACCACTTTCTATTGTTACTCTTGCAAGCTTTAGGTCTTAACCCTACTTGTTTGTACCAAAAAGATTTACCTTCAATTAAACATTTTAAAAATAACAAATTCTATTACAGCTGGGTTGTTTAAAGTTCTAGTATAGATAACACACATAAATGCGGGTATAATAGCTAATCACAAAAGAAATGATAAATGACGTAAGAAATATTTTTTCTGTTTTCTCAAGAGGTTATTTCATGGAAATAAATCTTTTTGGGAATAGACTGTTTAATAATTGAATATAGTATTTAATATTATTAAAAACTAAAAAAAATATTATTTTATTATTAAATATATATCAAATAAACGTGAAAAACAGAAAGAATGTGTACATTTAACAGACAAATAATGGCATCATCAATTATTACTATTATTATTTTGGACAAAATTCACTCTAACTTATTTTAGAAAGTGTCTAATTACATTATTTGTATATGTACTGTAATTTATGATAAAAATTGAAATATTTAATATAACTGAAATTTAAATAAATTAAATTAACATATTTAAATTGAAATGACTAATATTAGCATTCGGAAAACTAATATTAAAATAAACATTCAATTGTTATAATTAATTTAATATTTAATATTGAATTAAAAATAAGAATTTATTAAATATTATTTAAATATATTGAATTCTGCAAATATCAGCAAGTTATACTTAATCATTTCCTAGAATTTGTCAATTAATATATATTTTCCTGTAGGCAATTTTGTGTTTAATCAGTTATTTTCCTATTAAAAAATATTTTAAATAATAATTCAAATATTTATTTAGACATTATTTATTTTAAAGATGGCGTCTATTACTTAATTACTATATCAAGAACAATGACAGTTTGTTTATTACTTATCAAATAATCTGTCATCTCTATTATCGAAATTATTCAACAGTGTTTTACAAGTGTTAAATTTACAAATTAAATATTTTATATAAAAATAATTTTTCCGTGTTTAAACTAATTTTAACTTGTCGGTAAGAATTATATTTTTAAAAATACATTACAATCGTAGATTAATTCATTTGATAAAATAATTACGTGCAATTTAAAATAAAAATAACAATTATTTTTCTTTCCTAAATGAGCCGTAATAATTGTTTTTTGAAAATTTTCTTTCCTTACTTTCTAGGTGTTTAAATATATTTTTTAAAAATTTCCAATAAAAGAATCTATAATTAATGTGTAGCAGAAATCATTCATTAAAAATCCTGCTACAGAGTCTTTTATCTGAGATTTTATGAATTAAACACGATTACATGAATAAAATAATTCATCAAAAATTTCTCAAATTTGTTATTTCTAAGAAATAATTGATGGTCTTTCAATTAACAACTCTTGCTCTTATAAAGATAGGCTTGTAATTTTTTTATTCGTTGGTTAATATACTTTTTTTTGCAATCGTATCACATCCATTTTGGGAAAATAGCGGAAAATACCGAAGTTGTTGAGTCAGAAGATATCTGCACGTAGTTTTGGCCACTTGACATTCCTAATACTGGCACCGTGAGACAAGCATCGAAAAGAGGGAAGCAATCTGCGTAGGAGACCAGGAATTTTGATAATTCATCTATACATAGTAATGTATCTATTAACGTCCATAAAAATCAACGAGTATCAATGAATAACTTTATAAATAACTTTAAGAAGACAGGTATCCTTTCAATGCAGAATTCCTTTTTGATAAAGGCTTACCTGTTCTTTCAAGTATTTCAAATAATTACACCTTATAAATGATCTGATTTATTAATATAAATAATATATTTATAATAAATCATTACTTCTACTATATATTAATAATGTTAATATAGTTCTAAATTATAAAAACAAAAAGATACAGATAAAGATTGTTGCCTTTCAGCCTCTTATAAACTAGTATACAGGTTTAAATAATATTAAAAAAGAATGTAATTAATTGCAATTTTAACCAGTCATTTGTTCTAATACTATAATTTAGAGAAATAATTAATCTGTCTTATTTTTTTTAATATTAAGTATGTAATAAAATAATATAATTCTATTTCATATTTTCCATATTTACAATCAATAGAAATATAGCGTAAATATCATAACTATTATTAAAAACATTTTAGATTACAAACTTTTTGATAGGGCTATAAATTGTTGTAGATATTCTATAGTTACTGTCAGCTACACATGTTGTTGTGATGGTAGCTTTGAACATTGTCAGGTGAGATAAAGTCACATCAGTTGTGAACAGTGTAAAGACCAAGAATAGCAGTAAAAGCATTCGCTGTACTTTCTGCTTTAAAATAATCATTTTTTTTAAACAACAAATAATATAAATTAATTTATTCGTTAAAATATTACGTTTTAATTGCTTAATTTTATGTGTAAAAGAGCAATAGCCACGTTAAATAAGGTAGCCTGCGTCAGTGCCTTTTTTTTAATAATGCTTTATGATAAAAACAACGTATTTTGTCATTTCAGTAACCAAATATGATTTAGAAAACAGGACAGTCATTATTACATTACCATGACATGTTCGTAATCAACTACTCCCAGTTTCATTCCCTTTAGTATATCTTGAAAATTTTTCGAAGAAATGAGTTATATAAATAAACTGATAAAAATTACTTTTTTTTGTAATAATTATATAGCTATAACACATATGTCATAAATTTTATAGAATTTTAATTATAAATATTGCATGTTTGCCTTGATTTTTAATTTTAATTTTTGATATTATGAAATTAGAAAATATAAATGTTCGAAAATAATAAATAAATTAATGGAAAGGATATATTAATCTTCTTTTCTACTAATTTCTTTATCATTTTCGAACATTTATTCTATCTAATATTATAATATTAAAAATTAAAATTAAAAGTCAAGGCAAATTATACAATATTTTAATAATAAGATTTGTAATTTTTTATACATTAATTATGTTTTTTATTTCATAATTTATTTAATTGTTTTTCTTGCAATATACGTTCAGTTTCCTTCGGTAAGCTCGTCTCTTCCTTAAATTAAATATATAACTTAAATGAATATTTAGAAAATAAATCTGACGAACAATTTTAAAAAAGAAAGTATTACTAACTAATTTCTAGTTACTTAATTTTAAATAACGCACCTTATTTAATA